AAAAACCCCCTCTGCCTAAAAAAGGAAACCACTGTAATATTAGGAAAGGATTTGGTGTGTTTTAATAAAAAATTAATAATAATGTGATGAACATTATTCATGTTTTACATGTTGATGAAATTAATATTTCAAAGTATTTTAAAGATTGATGATCTATTTAGAAGTCTTAATGAGCTTATGACAAGGAGTTCCACTGGTAAATTCGGTGTGATCTCTCTTCTATTCTCAGATGTAACAAGAAAAATTATATTCTTTTAAAAAGTTGATCAAGATATGACCTTAATTACAGAAATAATATACGTTTTGACCAAGGTTGCCAACAAAGCACTTCTCTATGTATTAACCACAAGAAAACTGTAATGCAACCCTGATGTCTATCCCTAATTTCTATGTGCCCTGGCCACCCATCATTCATACTGAGGTTACTAAAAGAAATAGTCTATGTTCAATCTGACTCATGTTCATTTCTACTTCTTTTTTTTTTTTCTTTCTCCTTGTTTTTTTTCCTTTCGCTTTCCTTCCTTTCACTTTCGTGGTCAGCTGACAGGGGTAGGCCCGAGTCCAGGACAACCTTCACTATGTTTCGGCCAGCATAATAATGGCCGGTGGCATTTGTGCCCCTTGAGAGAGGTGGTGGGTGAGATCCCTGCCCTGCTGTCTGCTTGTTCCTCTCCCCTCTCCCCCCAGCATGAGCGTGGGAGGACCCTCTGGAGCCAGGCACCTCTTCTTCTTCCTCTTCCTCATTTTCCTTTTCCTCTTCCTCTCCTTTTATTCTTCTCCTCTTCATCTTCTTCCTGTTCCTCCTCTTCTTCTTCCTCAATGTTTCCTTTTTTAAGACAAGGTTTGTCTGTGGCCTTGATTTGTTTCCCCAGGTGTGATTTCAGGACCAATGTGCATTCATTGATTTGTTTCTTTTTTTATTTATTTTATTTTCCAGTTTAAATTTAGATAAGAAACAAGGTTGCTTCACAAGTCAGTTCCAGGTTCCTCTCCCTTTCCCTCCCCACCTCCCATGCCCACCCCCAACCCCCCCCCCCCCCCGTTATCCCCTCATACCCCCAGGGAGGGTGAGGCCCTCCATGGGGGTGTCCATAGTCTGTCATTTCATATAGGGCAGGGCCTAGACCCTTCCCCAAGAGTTCAGGGTGAGAGTGCACCTCATATTGTTCTATGGGAGTCCAAAGTCCCTGTGTAAACTTGGGATGGGTACTGATCTGCTGCCCAAGGCTCAATAGATTACCTAGGCCTCCTCACTGACACTCACATTCAGGGGGTCTTGATCAGTCCCATGTTGGATTCCCAGGCTGATGCCTGGGATTCAAGAGTTAACCTTTGTCTGGTCAGCTGTTTCTGGGGGTTAAACCAGCCCAGTCTTAATCCCTTTGATCATCAGTCCTCCCTCTCTGTTACTGGCTTTCTTGAGTTCAGCTCAGTACTTAACCAAGGGAGTCTGCCTCTTCTTCGATCAGCCACTAAATGAAGTTCTTAAAGATTTGTTATTTTTATTTTTGTGTGTATGAATGTTTACTGCATATGCATTTGTGCACCACACACATGCCTTGTGAATGTAAAGACCAGAAGAGGGCATTGTGTCTCCAGATATAGAACCACAGACTTCTGTGATAAATCAAATGGGTCATAAGGAATGAACTCAGGTTCTTTACAAGTGCAATAAGTGATCTTAGTCACTGAACATCTCGGAAAACCCATAATTTGGTATGTGTGTGTGTGTGTGTGTGTGTGTGTGTGTGTGCGTGTGTGTGTGTGTGTGTATGTGTGTGTGTGTGTGTTATAGCTTTAGAGGTTTTTCTGCTGGAAATGGAAACAATAAAAAGAACTTTGTGATTTAATAAAAATATAAAAATTTTCAAATTTTTAAAAATCAAGTGTTGTGATATAGTAAATATTTAAAACCATTATTTCCCAAGAGGCTGTATGAGTCGGCACTCCCACCAGCAGTGGAGGAGTGTTCCCCCTCTCTCCACATCCTCTCCAGCATAAATTGTCTTCAGTGTTTTTGATTTTAGCCATTCTGACAGGAGTAAGATGGTGTCTCAGAGTTGTTTTGATTTGCATTTCCCTGATGGCTAAGGATGTTGAGAACTTTCTTAAGTGTCTCTTGGCCATTTTAGCCTCCTCTATTGAGAATTCTCTATTTAGTTCTGTACCCCACCTTTTTTATCATTCTTTATTTTAATTTTAAATAGCTTGTTTTACATGTCAATCCCAGTTCCCTCTCCCTCCCCTCCTCCCGCACTCCCCTTCCCCGCCTCCCTCCCACCCTATTGCTAAATCCTTCCACATAGGGGATATCTAGAGTCTGTCAATTTACTCTTGGTAGGGTCCAGGCACTCCCCTAAGAGTCCAGGCTGAGAGAGCATCTCTCTTTGTGCTATAGGTACACGAAGACAGTTTGTATACCAGGGATAGACACTGATCCACAGCTCAGGGCCCCATAGGTTGCCCAGGCCTTCTCACTGACACTCACATTTGGGGGGGGTCCAGATCAGTCCCATGCTGGCCTCCCCACTGTCGGTCTGGGGTCCTAGAGCTCTCCCCTGTTCAGATCAGCTGTCTCTGCTGGTTTTGCCAGCCCATTCTTTGCCAATTTGCTCATCACTCCTCTCTCTCTGTCACTGGGTTCCTTGGGTTCAGTTCAGTGATTAATTGTGTGTACCCCACCCTTTAATTGGATCCTTTGGTGTTTTGGAGACTTGTTTCTTGAGTTCTTTGTAAATTTTGGAGATTAGCCCTCTGTCAGATGTAGGGTTAGTGAATATCTTTTCCCATTCTGTGGCCTGCCTTTTTGTCTTTTTGACTGTGTCCTTTGCCTTACAGAAGCTTTTTAGTTTCAGAAGGTCCCATTTGTTAATTGTCGATCTCAGTGCCTGTGCCACTGGTGTTATGTTTAGGAAGTGGTCTCCTGTACCAACTCGTTGAAGAGTTTCTCCCACTTTCTCTTCTAAAAGTTTCAGTGTGGCTGGATTTATGTTGAGATCTTTGATCCATTTGGACTTAAGTTTTGTACAAGGCGATAAACATGGATCTATCTGCAGTCTTCTGCATACCAGTACCCAGTTATGCCAGCACCATTGGTTGAAGATGCTTTCTTTTATCCATTGTACAGTTTTAGATTCCTCAGGAAAATGGGAATTAATCTACCACTAGTCCCAGCAATTCCACTCTTAGGCATATATCCAAATGAGGCAAATTCATACAACAAGGGCATCTGCTCCACTATGTTAATAGCAGCATTATTTGTAATAGCCAGAACCTGGAAGCAACCTAGATGCTCCTCAACTGAAGAGTGGATAGAGAAAATGTGGTACATTTACACAATGGAGTATTACTCAGCAGAAAAAACAATGGAATCTTGAAATTCGCAGGTAAATGGATAGCACTGGAAGAAACCATCCTGAGTGAGGTAACCCAGTCGCAAAAAGACAAACATGGTATGTACTCACTCATATATTGATGTTAGACATGGATCAGGATAGTGCTAGTCTGCACTTCCACTGATAGAGAGTCTGGGAAACAGGAAAGAACCTAAAAGATATGCATGGTACCCAAGAGAAGAGAAGTGAGGCAAGATCCTCTGAACAGATGGGGAACACGGTGAGGGGTGGGGGGGAGTGGGAGCTGGGAAGAAGAGAGGGGGTGAAGAGGAAGAGAGTTGGTCATGGGGGAACAGGAAGTTGAGTGGGTGGGGGTAGAATAGGGAGAAGAGGGAATCATAGGATAGAAGACAGATCAGGCACCAGAGTGGCCTCGAGTGATCTAAAGGGATAACACCAACTGGCAAGCTAAGCAATAGTGGAGAGACCACCTCGAATGCTCATTCCTGATAATGAACTTGATATCTATAACCATCCGGGAGCCTTCATCCTGTTACTGATGGAAGCAGAGGCAAACACACAATTAATCACTGAACTGAACCCAAGGAACCCAGTGACAGAGAGAGAGGAGTGATGAGCAAATTGGCAAAGAATGGGCTGGCAAAACCAGCAGAGACAGCTGATCTGAACAGGGGAGAGCTCTAGGACCCCAGAGCCACAGTGGGGAGGCCAGCATGGGACTGATCTGGACCCCCCAAATGTGAGTGTCAGTGAGAAGGCCTGGGCAACCTATGGGGCCCTGAGCTGTGGATCAGTGTCTATCCCTGGAATACAAACAGTCATCGTGTGCCTATAGCACAAAGAGGGATGCTCTCTCAGCCTGGACTCTTAGGGGAGTGCCTGGACCCTACTCAGAGTGAAATGACAGACTCTAGATATCCCCTATGTGGAAGGATTTGGCAATAGGGTGGGAGGGTGGGGGAGAGGGGGAGTGCGGGAGGAGGGGAGGGAGAGGGAACTGGGATTGACATGTAAAACAAGCTATTTAAAATTAAAATAAAAAATGATTTAAAAAACTATTATTTCATTCTTCGTTACCAAATCCTATGCTTTTATATTTTGGTCTTTTGATATGCTAAATACATCATTATTTTCTCAAAATTGTCATTACTTTATATTTATTTATTTATTTGTGTGAGGGGAAGATGCAAGATGGATGGATAAAAACATGGCAACATTCAGGAGTTGGTTCTATCTTCCCATCTTGTAGGATCCAGGAATCCAATTCTAACTGTCAGGTGTTAGGCTTGGTGACAAGAGTCTTCACCTATCAAGCTGTCTCACCAAGCTAAGACTCATAATTTTAATCTTTAACCTTAATTTCAATTAGGAATGCTTTATTATAAGTAAATGCACATAAAATTTATTTATTTGTAAAAATTCTAGCATTATTATTTAAATAAGTTTATTGTCCATATATATGTATACATAAAATATAAATAATGACAACCCAAATAACCATTCATTGTTGGTTCAAGTTTTTGAAAAACATATTGGTTTGCAATGATCCCCATGTGTATTATATGAAATAAAATGACCTACTTATAAAGTGCTTCCTGTAATATCTCTATCACAGCTTGGTTCTGGCAGCAGCTATTCTGTGCCATGGCTTTCCTGGAAGATGGAAACTACACTGCAGTGACGGAGTTCATCTTATTGGGCTTAACAAATGACCCAGTCCTTAGGGTGGTCCTCTTCAACATCATCCTGTGCATCTACCTGGTGACTGTGTCTGGGAACCTCAGCACCATCCTTCTCATCAGAGTCTCTTCCCAGCTCCATCACCCCATGTACTTTTTTCTCAGTCACTTGGCTTCTGTTGACATAGGCTACTCATCTTCTGTCACACCCAATATGCTTGTCAACTTCCTGGTGGAGAGGAGTACCATCTCCTATCTTGGATGTTTTATACAATTTGGCTCAGCTGGTTTTTTGGGGACACTTGAATGCTTCCTTCTGGCTGTCATGGCTTATGATCGCTTTGTAGCAATTTGCAATCCACTGCTTTATTCAACCAAAATGTCCACACAAGTCTGTATTCAGTTGGTTGTAGGATCTTACATAGGGGGTTTTCTTGATGCTTTCCTGTTCACCCTTCCTTTTTTTTCTTTTCTTTTCTGTGGACCAAACAGAATCAATCACTTTTACTGTGATTTTGCTCCTTTGATGGAACTTTCCTGTTCTGATGTCAGTTTCTCTGTAGTTGTTACCTCCTTTTCTGCTGGCGCAGTAGTCATAATCACAGTGTTTGTCATTGTTGTATCCTATACCTACATCCTCATCACCATCCTGAAGATGCACTCCTCTGAAGGCCGCAGAAAGGCCTTCTCTACCTGCACCTCCCACCTCACTGCAGTCACTCTCTACTATGGCACCGTCACCTTCATTTATGTGATGCCCAAATCCAGCTACTCCACAGACCAGAACAAAGTGATATCTGTGTTCTACATGGTGGTGATCCCCATGTTGAACCCCCTCATCTACAGCCTCAGGAATAATGAATTAAGGGTGCTTTGAAGAAATATCTGGTAAGAAAACAGTTTCTTAGGGTAATCTATTGTTTTTGTAAAACTTAATATAATAAGAACAATTACCCAAAATCTAGTGGACTATCATCTCAGGCCTGGTTATTAGGCTTTTTGTTACTCCTTTTGTGCTCATCTTCTTTTTCTCTCATTATACATAGCTATTGTATTTATTGCATTTCTATTTTTTTGTATTTTCAAATGTGTCTTTGAAAACATTATACAATATATTTTGATCATATCCATCTTCTCTCTCTACTCCTCTCATTGTCAAGTCCCTCTCCTACAAACCAAGCTTTATTCATTTTAAAATTCAACTTGTGATACCTGTACATGCTTAGATAGTTAGGTTTCTCTTGAAGCATCACTCATCTACAAGATGCCACAAGGTTTACAAAAACTGATTCTTCTTCTAAAAGATATCAGTTGCCAACCACTCCTCAACTATGTGTTGCCTTTGTGCTCATGTCCCCTCTTCATGCTGGGAATTTTGTCTGTTTTAATTTTGTGCATGCTGGCATAGGTAATATAAATCCATGTCTACAATTATTCTGTGGTGTTCTGAAAGCCTGGTTTATTTTTTAGTCATCCACCAGCTCTAGCTATTACAATCTTTTTTTCAAATATACTCTGTAGTTTATTTAATGTGTTAATTGGTTATAAGGCATGAGTATGCAAGCTATTAACATTAGAAGAAAAGATGAGGGGCATAGAGAATTGTTCAGTTCTATTTTTATATCTCTTTTAAACCCAAAATTAACCAAAAATGAAATAGTCTAAGAAATATGTTTAAGAACACATTTTACATGAATCATACCTTTCTTAAACCAAATAATTGCTTCTTATTTTCAATTTATAGGTGAAAATTCGATTTTTTAAATTTTTAAATAATTTTTCCACCCACATTTTGTAATAATTCCTGATCTTGGAGGGAAGGAGTTATGATGCAGATATAGTACTGAGCCTTCCACATTATATAATTCCATGTTCAAAAAGTTGTGTCTTAATCATTATCTCTTGCAAAAAGAAGCTGTTCTTTTTTTTTTTCGAGACAGGGTTTCTCTGTGGCTTTGGAGGCTGTCCTGGAACTAACTCTGTAGACCAGGCTGGTCTCGAACTCACAGAGATCCGCCTGCCTCTGCCTCCCAAGTACTGGGATTAAAGGCGTCCGCCACCAACGCCCGGCAAAAAGAACCTGTTCTAATGAGGGTTAGGAGATGAACTAATCTGTAGGTATAGTGATAAGTCATTGCAAATTGGTTTAATACTATGTCCATTTAGGGGAACGATGATGGTGGATTCTTCCCTAGGGCCTATGTCCTTTGTAGTATAGGTTTTGGGCCTAATAGTAGTGTTAGGTGTGAATTTCATTTTGTCCAGTTAGACTTAGATCCATTCAGAAAGTGATTGTTTACTCGTTTACTCCCATAATATTTGTGATACCATAGCACCAGTAGGCATATCTTGCCAGACTGGTGTTTATTTTACTTGAAATGTTGACAACACAAATTGTCTATACAACACATATTTTAAAACATATACTAAGCTACTCCTATTTTTACATTTTAATTCACTCTATTCACTTTAGAATAGTATCCAGATACTCTTCCATTTTCCATGAGTCCTTCCTTGGATTACTCTGACTTTCTTTTTAAATTGTGAGATTCTCCAGGCTGAGGCACTTGCTATTTTCTGTCTGGAGGCTTTTTGCCCACTCTCCATACCTTATGCACCTCTTAGTTTCCTGTTTAAATATAACTTGCCCAATGGGGATTTCATTGCTAGCCTACACAAGTTAATGCCACTCAGTTCTGTCACAGCTAACACTACCCAATCTCACCACAGCTATCTTTACTTTTCATATGAGCTCAATTTATTCTTCTCTATTACCTTCTAAGTTTAAAAGGTTCATTCTCCTCTAGTCCATTCTCCACTCAAGCATCAATTTCATGAGAATTGTTTCATTCAGTAACATATTGTTAATGTCTACTTGGTTCTACAATACAATACATACTCAACAAAAGCATCTAGATGGAATTGATGTCTCAATGGTTATCCTGTAAACTAATCCTAAAGTTCTGGCAAAATGTTCCTGAAAAAAAATTTAATTTATGAGAAAGGACACTACTGGTTTATCCCTTCCTTCTTCCTAAACTATTCCCAAATATGTAAAGAATAAGCCTGAAAACTTCATTGATATGTAAATTATTGTTTCTTACCGGGGATTATTTTTTTTATTTCTCAGTTATCTACAGTCAGTTAATACTTACTGTAAAATGGAGAAAATAGTTGAACATTCTGACCTCAGAGATATGGATTATGTGTTTGCAGGGAGGCTAGTCTTTATGTTCAGGAATTTGGGATTTACAAGATTAAAGCTCTAAGGTCTCATGCAGTCAGATGTAACTTAAAATTTTACCAGATATTTAGGATGTTCATGGAATGATAAAGACTAGCAACAAACTTTTGGTAGAGGTAGGTATAAAACTTCCAACATGAGTGTTTTTAAAATGAAGAAGCAGAGGCTCCGTGGGAATAAGTCATTGCCACCAAACATGATAATCTGGCTTTGATCACAGGGACCTACATGGTGGAAGGAAAGAACCAACTCATAATTTGTGCTCTTAAATAAATACACACACACACACAAGTGAAACAAAAAATAAAGAAGCATTCTAGACAGATCAGAAATAAAAGACAAGGGAATATAGGGTGTAATTAAGTTACTCTAGTACCTTTGATGCTAGCTCTATCATTTAAAAATCTGTTTTAAATTCTATCAATATTATATCAATGATTTTAATGTTAGAAAACATCATTTTTCCATACATAGCCCTTAAATATTTTATTAGAGCTGTAAAGCCTCTGCTGTAAATTAAGCCTCCACAGTTCCTTTTGTCCCTTCCATTGTGGTGTCCATTCTAGATTTTGAAAATTATCCAAGTCAATTCTGAACACATCTGGATCTCCATGAAGTGGCCATTCCTGCTTTTTTCCTTCTACTTCAGCAGAGTTCAGTGGGGATAAAATCCTACTTCTGTTCTGATTCTGCAATAATCCATCCACGCTAACCACAGCATCAGGGGACTGAAGTCAGACAAGGCAGATGAGATTATTTCCTATAAATGTAGTTATGTTGTGAAATTAAAACAAATGTTTTATAAAATTTAATGAAATACTATGTATAAAATTCTCAGAGGTCTTTTGTCAAGCATCATGAATAAGCGACATTCAAAGTTGAGTAGGAACAAAATGTTTGTGGGTTTTAATTGTTCAATACTTTTAGGAGATATATTATTTTTCATTCAACACTTCAGAGGATCTTCACCATCCACAAATCTAAAGGAAAGCATGAAGCAATGAGTCTGATATCTCCTCTGTTCCTGACTAAACCATTCATATTCATGAACACCTCTTGAGTTTGGCACTCTCTTCCTCTCCACTGTGGGGGGAAACATCTAGAGCTCTGGCACACCTGCTGGTTGACTCAGGTCAGCAACTATGACTCTCTATCCTTTCCCTGTGTCCACCAGTTACCTGTGTAGATAAAAGTGTGAGCCTAATCCATCCAAATATCTGGCTTTTTCCTATGATTTCCTTTTCATAGGCTCTTCTACACAAACTTAGCCATGTTTCTTTCTCCTGACTATTCACGTTACCGGGCCACCCTTGGAAGAATGGTTTAGGTCAGTCAGGCTGACCTTTACATGTTCTTTTAACAAAGTCTCTATTGTTCTATTTTATCAATAAATGGGAATCAGATGCTGGAGTCAAAACCTACTTGCTTAGAAAGGCAGAGAAAACACCCAGCTGCTTCCTCTTCTGCCATCATCCCAGAAAGAGAGCTTTCTCCTATGCCATTGAAACAAAACTCCTCCAACCAGATGTACCTTCTTCTTCCTGTGCACCTCTCTTTCTCTTTCTCTGTCTCTGTCTCTGTCTCTCTCTGTCTGTCTGTCTCTCTCTGTCTCTGTCTCTGTCTCTCTGTCTCTCTGTCTCTCTGTCTCTGTCTCTCTCTCTCTCTCTCTCTCTCTCTCTCTCTCTCTCTCTCTCTCTCTCTCTCTCTCTCTCTCCCTCCCTCCTCCTGACTTCCTGATACTCTTTATAATTTTTTTCTGGTTAATTGGTTGCTTGCCCTGCCTCTTGACTTATGGTTAATTTTACTTAATTCTGTTTACAATATTTGAGCAGAAAGCTCTGGGATTAAAGGTGTATGCTAGGGTTGACCCACACAACAGCTGGTAGCAGGATTTTTAAATAAATAACACAATCTTGGGATTCACAGTGTAATCAAATATACTGCAATATTTCCCCTTTGTCTAAATAAAAAGGATAGGTTTTAACTCTAACACAGTAAAACTATTTACAATAATGAAGTTATTTCTGGCAAGCTTTCTACAATGTCTAACTTGGTTGTATTTGGCAGTCTTAGGATTAAGGATTTCTGAGTTCAAAGTTCTGTAAAATGTTCATGTCATTCTGATATGAACTCAATATTTTGAGTGGCCTGAGCAATTTATAGTCCAAAACTGATCTTTAGGTAGTGTTTGTCAGCTTAATGGTATTACCACCATCCAGGTAGATTCATCATTACATGGCCCCATCATATTCTTCTTAAATTTTTTAACATACCAACCAAAGCTTCTACTTCCATTCCCTCCCCCCATTTCTCTTTTACCCGTATCTTGTTTTTCTGTTTCCATTCAAAAGGATAGAACTAGAATCAATTCTGAGTAAGATAATACAGACCCCAAAGACAAACATTTGCCTGCAAATTTCATGATGTCATTTTTTTTACTGCTGATTAATACTCCATTGTGTAGCTATATCACATTTTCTTTATCCATTCTTCAGTTAAGATGCATTTATGTTGTTTCAAGATTTTGGATATTACAAATAATGCTGCTATGAACATATTTGACAAAATGTCCGTGTGGTATGATTGAGCATCCTTTGGGTATATGACCAAGTTTGATGTTGGCTGTTGGTTTG